CGTATGTCGAAGAAGGTCCGTTGACCTCGTACCCAGAAACTGTTGGCACTGATGTCTAATCTGGCGTCGTCTGCAGTGTTGGCGGATTGGAGTGAGAAGTTGCACCCTTCTGTGGGGATGAGGGGAGGTTCGATCCTCACGTCGCGGCACACCTCGCCAAGCATTTGTGCAGTCACGTCCCTCACCTCGTCGTGGCGCATGCAAACAAAGCCTCCCGTCTTGCACGTCATGGCATGGTTGGGGTCGAAAGCCGAACCGCATGTGCAGTGCTGGTGAAGGTCCTCTATTGGCCAACCATATCTCAGGGCAAGTGCGTCCACAAACTCCTGTTTGTTTAAACTAAACCCTTTGACTTTGATGGGGAGACTGGTCAACCAGTTAGAGGCGCCGGTTTCGCGTGCCATACTCAGTCTTCTTTTCATATCCTCAGTAATTATAGAGGTTAGTTCTTGAAGTTGTGCCCACTGCTTTGTTTCTCTATTTTTTGTAATTTCCATTTTGATTGTTTTTTGTTGTGTTGTATCAGGCTGTGTATATGTTTCTTGCGTTATTATGGCCTGAGTTAGGCTGGCTGAGAGCTTGACAGACTTTTGGAACTCCATGGCCGCTATTTTGTGCTGGGATCAGGTGCTTTATAATTGCTTCCTCAAGTGGTGAAAGTAAAGGCTCGATGTTAGGTAAAGTTCGCATTAAGAAGTTCCACTTGTGTTTGATACCGAAGGTGAAGGCGGTATATGCTGAGTGCGGTTCCTTCTTTGCCAGCTCTATCACTTCCCTTCTCCATTCATCCACTTGCCTTGTTATGTATTCTTCCCTGGCTGCTGTTGTGCCAAGAACTGCCCCAAGGTGTTTTTCACCGCCGGCCTTTATAATCACGTTTGTTTCTCGGAAGGCTTCTCTGGCTTGTCCGAGATATTCCGGTTTTACAATTAAAACCGATTTGGCGGCGTTCGGAAAATATCCTTGTGGAGGGCCATGTGTCTCAATGAGATTCCACCACTTCCTTATGTTCTCAATTTTCCCTGCTCCAGTCAGGTCGTCGGCATAGGCAACTTGCTTTATATTTGTTGTTGTGTGGTCAATTATTGTTTGTAGCCTGAGGAGACCGATGGCGTACATCGCCATGGCAACTGGGTCACCTTGTGTTGTGCCCTCGGCTGAAGCTATCATCTCATAGGTATTTGTTCTATTGTCGACTATGTGGAGCTCTGCTGGGTTGTTGTAGGTGTTCTTAATGTATTGTGCGAGGCTTGGGCATTTGACCTCTATATTGTGGATTGTTGCCTTCCGGTTGATGTTGTTGAAGGCATTTGTAGCATCCACCATGAGTACAGCCTGACAATCCGGCTCATCATAGATGTTTCTCATGGCGTGGATTGCTGCCTCACACCCTGCCTGTTGACCTGCACACACCTGTAAATTTCCCATGGCTTGTCTAACGTCGTCTCCGACAATGTTCATGATTGCCTTACCGATGATTCGTCGCAAGACTTCTCCAATGCCAATGGGGCGGCATCTGGGCTTCTTGTCGAGGGCAATTAAACGACAAGCTGTGAGGGCATCCAGGTTGTTGCAGTTTTCTGTTGCAAGTTTTCTAGCAAGAGATGCAATGGCTTTGCAAAGGTCATTTGCAGCTGACCCAAACTTGCTGCTGCTCAGGATGGTTTTCCATGCCTTTGCGTCGAGTCCAGAAGGTCCAGCTGCACCATGTGTGTGCAATGCATGTGTTCTTATCTTTTCGCCGGTAATTCGCTCAAAGATCTCCGGAGGTGGGGGATTATACTCTCCACGAAACATCGTTCCCGCCGCTGCTTCCTTTGCAGGCGGGTGCTTTTCACTGAGCAAACGACGGGTCTTTTCATTTAAGGGTAATGTCCCTGTTGTTTCATTTGATGTTAGGACCCTTACTGCCTTTGTCACTTTGCCTTGTTTCATTAGACTGGCAAATTTCCTTGATTTGTCCATCTCTTTTCTTGTTGCAATTGTTTTTCTGTGTCTTTCCTGTAGGTTTTTTGCCTCTTTCAGGAGTCCAGTAACATCTCCTACTTTCCATCGCTCCATCCTCCTTTTCATAGCCTTTACATCATCTGCGGTCTTGGATTTTGTATGTGTTCTTTGGCATATGAGATGAGGTAGAATAGCGATTGTTTTTAGAGCAATCGGTTGGAGGAAGCTGCCGTTTGTGTACTCTTTAATTAAGAATTCGACTTCCTTAATTAAGTCTTTCATTACGTTGCATTTTGGAATGTCGAATAGATTGCTTGGGGAGAAAGTAAATATTTTCTTGTATATGTTTTCCGTTAGCATTGTTGCATCTTCAATTGACATATTTCGCCAGTATCGGGTCGGAGAAGAGTCTCCTTCCACCTGAGTGATTACCGGTTGTTGAGATTCGTGCCCTGTATTATTCATTTGAGATCCTACTATGCTATCTGTCTCTGCTTCTGTTCGCACTCTGGCTGGTTGGGATCTGTTTTGGCATTGTTGCTCAGCTCTGCAC